GGAGACCTGATTGGTGGTTACCAGGGAAAGGGGGGGTGGGGGGAGGGCACAAAGGGGGAAGTGGTGTACCCACAACATGACTAACAATAATGTACAACTGAAATCTCACAAGGTTGTAATCTATCATAACATTAATAAAAAAAAAAAAAATACCAGGGAGAGTTAACATACATGTAAATGCATTTCTGTCAATGCATAAATGGCTTCAGATTTTTTTCTGGTTTCACCAAGGTAAGAGTATAAGAAGGTTCTAGATCCTAAAGATATCAGTGCAAGGGGAAAAGGAGGCTTAAACAACGTATATCAGAGATTCTGAAACTAGGTATTTTCTCCAACACTGTTCCTTCTGTTAAGGGAGTGTTGCCAAGAGCCTTTACAGGTGGGCACCTGCAAGAGTGAAAAATTTATTTTGAAGAAAAGAGAATAAAAATGCTTTGCAGTCTGCAAATCCCCAGGTAAGTGTAAAGATTATTTTTATGAAACCACTTATTTGAGTGGGAAGTATCTGACTCTGTGAAATCATTAAAAACATTCTTTTCATGTTTCACCAAATGTCCTTTGGTTAAAGTATAGTGATGAATCACTCAGCTTTAGCTGACCCCATTAAGCCCAAGCCTTTAGGGACAGGCTGTGTTCGGTGTGACCTCAGGTTTCTCTGAAAGTCTTACTAGCTGTATTGGTAAATAGCCATCAGAAGCCAGAACTAACACTCTCCTTCTCTCACCCACTCTTGTATGACACATGAATCCATCCTAAACCAAGTGAAACAGAGCAAGGCAGGCTGGAAAACACAGTTGGACTATCACCAGAAATCCCTGCTAATCTGCCAACTAATGCATTCCCCCAACATGTGCGAAGGCAGAGGCAAACATGCACTCCCCATTGTCTGCAAGCATAGCAGACCCCAACGCACCCCTGGGACCTCAGAAACAGACAAACTGTGGAATGAGGATTCTCACTTTTTACCTTCTAATTTATTAAGCCTCTTAATAAAACAATCTAGAATTTAATGAAAGTGGAATAAAAATTCAAAAATACATATGGATTTCTTCTTCAGAAAACAAAATTTAACTGACATTGCCAAGAAACAAAATGTCAACATCGTCCCAGAAAAATGCCGAGTTGCCTATAATTCCCATGAAGGCTGTGTTTAGTAAACCTGTCAGACTTCCTACCTTACAAAGTTCTCTGAAGGAGGAGGTTGTTTCAGTAACAGCTTCAGGAGTGAAAGAGTTCTTGATGACAGCACTAAGCACAGGGCCTGGCATATAGTAAGAGCTTGGGTAAATATGGGTTGAATGGAGATTAAACAAACACAATTTCTTTCCAATGGAATTTTAAAATTATGAAATGAATTGAATATCTAAATTTACTCTACAGGAGTTTTGGGGAAGTTTTCCTGAGGGATGGGCAGATGAGTTGGGTAGTTTAGAATTGTAACTCAAGACTACTGTAAGGAATCATTAGATGGACTCCAGTCTAGAGTCCACTTTTCCTTCAGAAAATCCCAAAGTAACAAAATTGAGTAAGACAAAGGAAAATAAAGAGCAAAAAATTATATAAGGGCAACACTAAGGGTTTCTTTTACTTCTAAGGAGTCAACAAAAGATGGATGAGCCTGGGAACAATAATAATAACAACTACTATTATTATTATTCACCATATTTTTGAGCCCAAATTGTGTCCTAAAGTGCTAAGTACATTAAACTTTGCAATGTAGATTTTAGCTTCATTTCACAGAGGTGGTAACCGAGGCTTAGAGAGATTAAAGAATACAACTTGTAAATAGAATCTGTAGGATTAAAATCGAGGGCTGAAAATGAAGATCATAAATTAAATTAATGGCGAAATTTGGTTTCACATATAATATTTCATTTTACAGATAACTATTCTGGCATCTATACTGATTTGTTGAAAAACAGGGAGTAAACTCAGTGAAGGAATTTGGATCCAGGATTGATTAGTACGTAGTTCTCACATATATGGGAAAGTCTCCATGCTGGCTCAGAGTTTAAATATACAGTGCGTCTGTTTTTCACGTGATGGTGGAAATTTTTAGTCTTATAATAAGGGTGTTTTCTGGATATCTCAGGTTCTTTCTAGGTATAATAAAGTTGAAATCAAAATAGGAAAAACTATCTCACTTTATCAAAACAAAAATAATCCACATAAACTGGTTTACTCAGCTAAAGTACTTCCTACAAATGAACTAAAAGCAGGGTTTTCTTCTTTATCTGGTCCAGGAGGAAATCATCTCTACTTTCACATTGTCACCTGCCCCTCCCATAAAACAGACCAAGAGAGATAGAAAAGGCCATAGGTTTCAGGAGTTCAAGCTCTTCATTATTATATACGAAGCAAAATCCAAAGAAATTAAACACTTCACTCAAGGTTTTTAAGCTAGTTACAAAAATGAACTTAGAATTTAGGACTCAAGAGTTCCAATACAGAATTTTCTCCACTTCAGTGTGCTGTTTTCAAGTTAATATTATGGTGAAAAAGACCCCTAAAAGTTTTGTTTCATGTCTCCTGTGTCAGAGAGCATCTAGAATATTATTTTGCCTCTTCTTCTTTGAAAAATTAAAATAGCTAATCGTCAGTTTAGTATGTCTTCAAGGTTAAGAAGCAATTAACTGGATGCTGATCATCACTAATCATCAGGCAAATGCAAATCAAAACTACACTAAGATATTACCTTACCCCCATTAGATTGGCAAAAATATCCAAAACCAAGAGTGACAAATGTTGGAGAGGTTGTGGAGAAAAAGTAACCCTCATACACTGTTGGTGGGAATGCAAACTGGTGCAGCCACTATGGAAAACAGTATGGAGATTTCTCAAAAAGTTAAAAATAGAAATACCTTATGACCCAGCCATCCCACTACTGGGTATCTATCCTAAGAACCTGAAATTAGCAATTCCAAGAGTCCCATGCACCCCTATGTTCATCGCAGCATTATTTACAATAGCCAAGACGTGGAACCAACCTAAGTGCCCAGCAACTGATGATTGGATAAAGAAGATATGGTATATATATACAATGGAATACTACTCAGCCATAAAAAAGGACAAAATCATCCCATTCACATCAACATGGATGGACCTTGAAGGTATTATGTTAAGTGAAATAAGCCAGACAGAGAAAGACAAACGCTATATGACTCCACTCATAGGTGGAAGTTAACACATAGACAAGGAGAACTGATCGGTGGTTACCAGGGAAAAGATGGGGGGGTTGGGGGGCGGGCACAAAGGGGGAAGTGGTGTTCCCACAACATGACTAACAATAATGTACAACTGAAATCTCACAAGGTTGTAATCTATCATAACCTTAATAAAAAAAAAAAGAAGCAATTAACTGGAAGTACTTTAATGGTGCTTCCTCTCCTATCCTTTCTTCTCTCCATATTTATCCTTCTGCTAAAGTCGCCTTTTGTGCCAAAAAGTGAAGGAAGACTTGAAAATAAATAGCTCATGATGTATCATAAAGGAAATGATATGAAGTGCCAGGACTTGCATAATTGTTTATCACTCACTTTGAGCAACTACAGTTGGTCCTGTAGTTGGCAATTATTTGCTTTTTAAAAACACAATATGTTATGTGGGGGCCACTTCAAGGTTCCAGGTCCCAGAAATAAGTCACTCATAACCGTGCAGCAGAGCAGGATATTAATTGTATGAAGCTGGTACAAAGTTCCTATAACTTTTGTCTTCATTCTGAAAGTTTGTCTGTGTTTAAAATAATGATTAAAGAGCACACAACTTCTTGAAGCAATTTAGTTTTCTTTGGAACATTTAGATTTGAAGTAGCACCGCATACTAGCTGAAATTTTTGTCCACCCTGACAGTCTCTCACTTCACTCCCAATTTCAACATATTTTTCAGAGAACCTAGAGAATTTGGACTTGAACAGAGTATGAAATTATGCAAGCTGAAGCTCACTCAGTCCAATATTCTGCCCACCACAGGAATCCCTACTAAATTATTCCTGGCGTGTCCATCCAGTTTTTGCTCAAAAAAACAAGTCAAAGATCTACACAGGAACAATTGTTGACAAAAAAAAAAAGAAAAGCATAACATCTGTGAGGGAAAAAGTAGGAATATTTAAGTAAATATTTACTTCACTTTGCATGAGCAAATTTACCATTCCAGAATTCACAAATCTTAGGTACCATAAGGTCAACTGTGGAACAATTACCATTATTAATTCATAAAACGGCAATTATATTTTTAATAAATGTTTTTGGATAAACTCCAGAAAACTGGGAATATGCCTAAAAATAAATGTGCTCTATAAAAAACTTTTAAACAAAATAAGGATCAAGGACCAAGGAGTGAGGATAACTTGGAAAAATTCTTGATTTGACTCTGAACATACAGACACATCACTGCATCCAGAGAATTGAAGGAGGCGAGAGAGAACACAAAGTCCCCAGAATAGGAATCTACCAACGACAACAAACACCTGAAACCCAGAACCAAGCAAGAACGAGAGCAAAATTAAGTTTTCCAAGAAAGTTTCAAAACCCCTTCAACAGGCCAACTTCCGGAACTCTAAAAATTCATTTGTCCTAGGATCGTGTAAAAGAGTCTCAAATACGATAGCCACTTATGTGAAGCTTATTAGCCGACTGAATCTCAGCCTGGGGTAAACATGGTCCAATACTCCTGTCTTCAAACCTCAGAGCGCTGTTGGGCTGGCAGAACCATTCCTACTGACTGGATTACTGCAATACATTGAAAGTCTTAGCAGAGAGCGACGTAAAATCACTCCCTGAAATGACGAATTCCGCTTCTCCCGGGGACCGTGCGGAGGCTCAGAAATCAGACTCATCCCGGATGCGAGTGAAGAGGCATTAAAAAAAAAAAAAGGAACAATTTTTTTTAACTTCACAGAGTTCTCCACCTCTGCATCGCATTACCTGGAAAGGATGCTCCTACACAACTACAAGGGCATGCAGTGGGGACGTGACGCCAGGGGGACCAAGATTCCTACTGACCTTTTTGCTGTTTAAAGGACTGAATCGAGCCTGAATGGTGGACCATTTTCACTCTGTGCGACCCCGCTGGGTTAGGAAGCTGTCCAAGAGAGGGAGGCGAAGGAACAGTAACCAGACAACCAGAGGCAGCCGGACTCCTGCAATTCCAGAGCCTCCGCGAGAGCGCTGCAATCCGACACCTGCTTTAGCCGGCACTCGGCTGCCGGGGCTGGGCGCCTACCGTCGTCATGGCAACGTCGGAGGGCGGTCCAGCGTCCGGCTCCCCTTAGCGGCTACTCACGGAATAACCCGGCATCCCCGCAGCGTCCAGTGCCGCAGTGTGGGTGGGCGTTGCGCGGGGTTTGCAGGGCATGGGAGGGGAGGACTTTTCTTAACGACTATAAATAAATCCGAGCAAATCTCTAGGGCCACTAATAATTCCCTGTTTTTCAAGTTTTTCGGCTGGTTATTATATCCAGGCACAAGCATTGATTTCCTAAAAAGTTGGTCTGTAAATACTGGCATTTACAGAAGGGAAAAGTTGGTCTCTGCTCTGAGAGGAGCCCAATGGAAAATGCAGAGACGTTTTCATCTTTCCCTCTCAAATTTGAATATGGGACATATAGATAACCTCCACTTATCCAGTAGAACGGTTTTACACTTGAGTTCTTGTGCTTTTCAGCTGTTGAGACCTTGAATCATATATGATAGTGACACTGGACGTTTAGTATCTACTAAGTAACAGGTGTGGAAAAAACACTATCCATGATACTTAATTTAGTCGTCATAAAAGCCCTATGAATTAGATAGAATATTATTATTCTAATATTGTGAAAGTGACTGAGGCCCAGAACAAGTCTCAAGATCACGTAAACCAACACCTTACCCAAGAGAGAAAGGCACTCGATACCCAAAGGGGTGAAGCGACTTTCCAAAGGCTACACTGCAGTGGCCAACATAGGGTCAGGAGCCAACCCAACACATTTTTCAGTACAGTCTCTTTTCCTCTTACACTGCTGTCTAATTCAAACCTCTAAGTTCCTCCTGGAAGATGTCACATTTTGCTGAACAGACACAAAGCAAAAGAGTCTATAGTTTCCTGAGTTATGAAGGTTTGTGAGATCAACGCAAAATCAAGTGAAGCATCCAAACAGCAGCGGTTGGAAAAAAGAAAGATGCGGAGATTTCCAAATTTCCAAAACCTCAAATAGGCTGAGCTGCTGTCATATGCTCTTTGATTTTACTTGTGGCATGATACAAGGACAGTAAAGAGAACATAGCTTTGAGCAAGCAGATGTTTCAGTTATATATGACTGCATAGCAAATCACCCTGAAGCTAGAGGCTTAAAACTAACATTTATTCTCTCTCGTGGTTTTTTTACAGGTTGGCTAGGCTCAGCCTAGTGGTTCTGACTCAGAGTCTCTCTTGCGTTTCAGTGACTGGGCCTGAAGTCATCTGAAGCAAGAAGAGAGAAATTGGATTCCTCTCTCAGTGGGAGGTTTATCAAAGAATGTGCAGCCTTCTTTAAAGAAGGATAATGGTCTTTCCAGAAAGAAAATGTTGGGCATTCAATAAGAGTTCAGTATGCAGTCACTAAATACTGGGCTATGGAGAATGAACTCAGCGTGAGTTTATCTCGAACTGAAAATCTAGAACAAACCTAGAGCATAGCTCCACAAAGGCTCATTCTATGGATATTTTTTAGAAGAGGACACTGAAACCCAGAGCAATAAATGATAATTTCCCTAAGGGTGTTTTTTGTTTTGTTTTGTTCATTTGCAGTTAAAATTCTAATACAACTTAACCTACAGGTCATTCTGATACAACCCAACTCACAGGATTCTACTACAACGCAATTCTGAAAGGTGAGAATTAAATTAAATAATGTTTTTAAGGACTAGTTCATGGCAGGAAACAAATGTCAATAAATACTAAATTATATTACTATAATTATGACCCCTGAAGATCTGATTCTCTTTTTAAAACCCTTTTAAATCATCAGGATTAGAGTCAGAAATATTTTTGAAATGTGAGCATTAATTAAATTCATCATCAGGAGGAACAGTTGAGAGAATTACAAGCCTCTGGTTCTACTCCACATCTCCAGGCACAGGTAACAGCTTCTGTTTCCTAGAACCTCTTCTTTCTGCTGAAGTCTGATTTTCTCCAACCAACTCCCTGACCCACAGCTCAGCAGGAAGCAAGGATGTGTGTGCTGGAGCTAGAAATGAGTTACAAATTTGAACCTCATTCAAAATTTTTTTTTCCAAAAAGAAAGTAGTTTGTATTATTTCTAACATCATTTCATCCTAACCTCTGCAGTGCATCTATGATTAAATTATCTTGTCATAAAGTTGATTGCTTTTAATTAGAAACATTTCAGGCAGCACTGACAAATTAACTAGCAGGGGATTCAAAGAACGTCTTTGCTTGTTTTAAAATCTGTGTTTTAGGGAATGTTGCTAGAGGAACAGCTTTGTGAGGGACTGAGGAAATTTCAAGCACCATCTGCTTTACAGGAAAGGCAACACAAAGAGAAGGAGAAGCTCTGTGTGTGTGTGTGTGTGTGTGTGTGTGTGTGTAAAGAGAGAGTGTGTGTGTTTTGGAACTGGGGAGTACAGAAAGAGAGGTTTGAGCAAAGACCTTCCTGAAAACTAAATGTTCCTATGATCTGATAATAGGAAATATTTTGATAGTAACATCTCTATTGTAGAAAGTTTAGTAATGAATATAAAATAGCCTCAAGGCTAAACTGATTGTTGCTTTGGTTTTTCTTACTATTTTTGGCTTCAAACTTCTTTCTTCAAATTTTAATGATGAGAAAATAATTATATAATTTTCAGAGAGGGGGTATGATCAAAATCATATGTAGTATGACATTGACTATGTTTGGCAAGATAGAAAAAAAAAGACAGGAAAGAAACATACAAATTTTCCAGAATAATTAATTTTTCAAGTGAGGATTAAGGTTTTTATACTTCCTTGTTTTTGTCATTGTCATGCTTTCTACAAATGATCTATATTGATTTTTATATTTATTGTATACATATATCTTTAAACTCCCTCCATATTTGTCGTTCACCAATTTTTCTGTCTTTTTCAGTCTTGGACCCTGTTTATTTTCTTCCTTGCTGAAGATTCTGCTGCATTCTCCTCCCCACAGCTCACCACCTGTCTCGTGTCCTAGGTAAGTAATTACTTTATCAGGCTCCACGCTAACTTTCGCCTCGCAGAGAGGTAAGGAGCTCTGCTGTTTACATCACCGGGAGGCTTTTTATTCTTTTGCATCCTGAAAGAGGACCACTCAGCTCAGTCAATGACAGGTTTCTCTGTATTGTGCTCTATTGTAGGAACTGTCCTTGCCTCTTTGGGTCTTCAACTACTGACTTAATTGAAATTGAAATTGCCAATTCTGCTCCTCATTGCCTAAATGGAAACAGAGATAGAGATAAAAATTCTCTTTGAGTTATTCCCTTTCTAGAACCCAGTCATTTAAGGTATTGATGGGCAAAATGAAATAGCCAAGTCATGTTGATAATGGATTTATCTGCAGAGTAGGAAGAGAGAAGAAGAGAGAGATCTCCTTGCAAGACATTATTAGAGGGAGACTGGTCCCCTTGAGAGCAGATTGAGTGTAGAATGTCTGCTTCTTCAGAGACTGGTATAGTTCTTGTCACACAAGCTTTAATAAATGCTTACTAATGAATAAGTAAAGAAACCAATGCAATTAAAAATTTAAAATGACTTCAAGAAAAGTGCTTGTTTAGTGCCCTGGGTAGTTGTCATCTTCCTTATGCAAAGCCAAGGGAAATTATATTAAAATAGTTTGTGTATTTTATATCTATATTTATATTTAATATATTCAGTATTTTCTTGTTTCTAGTTGCTATCCATACTTTGTTAAAGACATAAGCAAGCTCTTCAAAAAACCATATGCTGTGATAAATGGAAGGGTGGAGTGCAACTTAACAGTTATTTCCCAAAAAGCCTATGATTCTTGGCCACATGTGACAGTATAAGCACAGAATTAAGGAGGTTAGTCTTGCTGATATTCAGACTATATGCTCAGAGAAGCATTCAGAAGTGACATTCCTGATGGATATAAGTGACTAAGAGAAAGCAGTGGAGGAAAATCTGGAGCCTCTACCTTCTCTGAATCCAGCACACAGTATTTTGAAGAGACAGGAACACAAAATGATTTGCTTAAGAAGACAGCATCAAAAGAAAGCAGATGTGTGGGACAAAGTAGGAGATGATAAATTTAACACAGTTTGTATGTTATGTCTCTGCTGAAAAACTTACAATTACTTCTTCAAATTGCCTCAAAAATCAAGTCCACGTTCATTGGTCTACCATTCAAGGAGCTCCATGATCTGCTCTCAGCACTTTGCAATCTTGTTTCTAAGACTCTCTTTTAGAAACTCTTTTGATCCTATAGGCCTCTCTTCTTCCTCATAGGCCTCTCTGCTTGTGCTGCTGCTGTGTCCTCCACTTGAAATGCTCATCTTACTTAGAACTCCTATCCTACCCGTAAGTTTTCTCAACCCCTACCCATCCTTCGAGGCCCCAGAGCAATGCATTTCCAGGACGAAATTTTCCTTTATCCACATCCACCCAGTATAGAGCCAGTTAGATGTGAATTTAACCTCCTGTAATTCTGATAGAATATGACTAACATATTTCATGGCATTTTTACATGTTTCTACTATGCAATATATATATAAGCTTTCAAAAGTAGGCACATAATTTTCTCCTAGCTCAGAAGAAATGCTTTAAGGAAGACCGTGTTGATTCATTTTTTATCTCTTACATTGCCTAAAAGATGGTCTAGCACATAAAATATTATCAAATTCACATTTGCTGAATAAACGGTTTTCCACGTTGCTCAGCTACTATTTATTATTTGTGAAAATAGTCTAATATAACACATTCAAATATAAACCCAGTATATTGATTATATATAAACCCATTAAATATAAACCCAGTATATTAATTATATATTAATTAAATATAAACCCAGTGTATTAATTGCCTTTCAAGATTGCCTTACATTGCTTTGTGATCTTATTTATTCCAGTCTATTAATTTCATAAAGACTGTTTTTCCTGTGTTGTTTTGAAAGTCTAAGAATGTAATAATTGTTGATTTATTTTTATGTCTGCTCATCTTCATAAGTTCTTCAACTGATACTCTGGCCAGAGTGACCA